TTTGGGCAGCTGATCAGCAGCACCTTCCCTGGGGGCACTGAAGCTGCCCTTGTTTGCTCTGAAAGACTTGTACGACTGGACACTTTAACAGAATAAAAGTTGTAAGTTTTAATTTGCATTTTCCTCCTCTGTCTCCTTTCTTTGACGTTTCCTGTGTGTAAAGTCACTTGGCCTTCCATCCTCTTGCTTTTCAGAAGACAGAGGTTAAAAATTCCAGCTATTGTGTAGGATTATTGGGTTGTTTTATTGAGCCCTTGTGGATTATGACAATCCTTTGTGAATTAAGCAGAGGTACAGAGAAAGAGAGGCCTGGGCTGCGTTATGGATTTCACCATCACTTCAACAAGTGCCTGAAACAGCTTCTGTTCCTGAATTTAAGGCTGTTGGAGGATTGTCTGCACAAGCCTATGGAAGCTCAGGTGGGTTTTCAAACTGCATATTTGGCTCTCCTTCCCTAGGAAAGGGATAGGGAGTGAAGGCGATGGAGAAAACTGCCTGTTGCCACAGCAATTGTCTTCAGACAACTGTTGCTAACAAGTTATTTCAGTGTCTGCCCACCCCACACACTTCCTTAGCTGGAAATGCTGGCAAATGGTGTCTTTCCCCAGTTTGTGATGATTTACAGAGAACCAGCCTGTGACTTGCAAAGACCATGTGAGTTTCTGTGCAGCTCTTCTGCTGTGTAGAAAGGTGTTTCTCTTGTGTTTTGCCTTTCCCTTGCTCCCTTTGTCCGTGACTCCTTGACCACAGTGACCTTGGCCCCACTTCAGTGACAGAAAATGTGAGCAGGCTCTGAAACAGGTGAAAGGTGGGAGTTTGAGATGCTGCTTATTGCTGAGTTCTAATGAAATGTGTAGCAGGACTGAACCAAAAACGGAGAGGACAAGACCCCCCCTTGTCCTTTAAGGCTCACCTGGACCTCAGCTCCTCTTGGCTGGGATTCAGCTGCTCTGTCAGGAGCTGAGAAAAAGAAAGAATAAAGGTGCCATCAAAAAAACCTATTTCTTGGATTCCTGCAGGACTTCAATACAGGAATGGGGAAAAAAACTGATCTGTCCTTGTTGGAAAAAGACTTCTAATCATGATAATTCCAAATTTTTAGTGAGTTAAACAGAAAAGCATAAAGGTTCAATAGAGGCAGCTGGAACTATATTGGCTTTATTCCAGTAAAATCCTCCAGCCCTGCTGCACTGTCAGCTTTTTACCTTGCTGTTTCTTGGGTTTACCTGTTGATGAGAATTCTCTTGATGGAAAATTACTGCATTTCTGAGGCTTCTGTTAACTTGAGAGCAGATTGTCAGTACAGGGAAAACAACTATTTGAATATCTATGACACTTTAACTACTGGTTAAATTTAGATATTCATTATGGTTGTTGTGCTTCCTTTGCTCTTTGTTTCTCATTAAATATTCTGTCACTTGTTGCTGATCCTATCAAAGACTCTGGGAAAGGTGAGGAGATCCAGTGGAAATTTTTCCTCCTTGATAACCCTGGCAGCAGCAGTTTTGGTGGGAGTGCTGAGCTGGCTCTGGAGAACTGGCTTGGCTCCAGATGGTCTCAATAGGCTCTTTTATTGAGGGGGAAATTAAGGTAATTGTGCCAGTCCAAAAGGCATTTGAAACACTTGAGCTGTACCTTTCCTACAGACATGGGATGGGCTCTGCCAGCCTCCAGTGGAGTTTGCCAGAAGTTTCTTGCAGAGCTGGCAGGAGAAAATGTTAATAGTTTGCAAAAAAAAAAGCTCTTGGAGGGGAGAAAGGGAAGGGAAAAGGGGCCATTTCCCAGTTTTGTCTGAGTACTTTCAACCTTCCTATTTAAACTTAACAGGAGAGAAGGATTTACAGAGGTAGCATCCTTCTCCTTGACTTTTTATGGGCATTATGTGGCTGGAGTGGTTTTCCTCTTGCTGAAAAGGTGTTTCTGAGACTCAAAGTAGGGGCATGGCTGGAGTGGCAAAGAACTGGAGGACTCCTAAGGACAGACACTGATGGAAGCTCCTGGAGCAGGGATGGGCTGCCTCTCCTGCCTGGCGTGATCTGCTGTTTATATTGCTCCAAACAATCCATGGAACAGGAAAACTGTGGTTTGCCCTCATGGCATGACCCAAACCAGCCTCTGAGGTCACTGTGTGTGCGTAAGGTGGGGAGTGGAGGCGGTGACGTGATAAATTGCTGGAAAAAACCCTGTCTGGGAATGTGAGGTACATGACACGATGGTGACGGAGGTGACACGGAGAGGGACTGAGGAGTGGCACGGGAGTGTTTTCCTGGAGTGTTTCTCCAGGATTGCTGCCTCCCAGGGAGGGGTGAGGTGGGTCACAGGATCAGCTTCCAGGCAACAGCTACAGCAGGGGTGTTTTTTTTCCCCACTGGTTACACATCTTCTGCTCCATCGGTTGCTGAGAGGCTGTTAAGAGGAAGGAGGAACTACTTGATTTTTTTTTTTTTTGAACTTTTCAACACTGGAGGCTGATTGATTCCCTTCCCTCCCCCCCCTCCAGGTTTGGTAGCCCAGTGAATAGTCTCTGGCAAAATTTAGCTTTTAAACTACTCAATTCATATCTTCTTGTGAGCAGAGAAAAGCTTGAAAACAAGCTGTAAATGCTCAAAAAAAGATGTTTTCCAGTGAAAACACTGAATTCCCCCTTTATTAAAAAAAAAAGGAAAAAATATTTTAAGATGTGAAGGGATTTTTATTTACAGTTGATTCCTGTACAGAACAGAAAACTTAATTTTTTCAGACAACCCCTTTTTAAGCTGGATTTCCAGTCGCTGGGATGTAAACGCCTTCCTGGGAGCGTTTTGCATTCCTTCCTTTTGCTGGGTTTTCCTTCGGCTGCATGAGTGATGCAAGAACCCGCCCCCGTGGTGGGTTTTTTTTTGGGAAGTGCTGCTGAAAGGGTGTTTTCGGGGTTTCCTGTAAGAACCAAACACGCTTTTCTCTACAGGGAAAAGCTTTCCCGAGGGATTCCTGCGGGATGGAGGGATGTGTTGGCTGGGAGCGCCACCGCTGGGCTGGAGGCTGTTCCTCCCTCTGCCGCCTTTTAGCCCCACTTGGTGCGTTTTCTCTCTGGTTTGAACTTTGCCTGGGTTTGGGGTTACTTAGTTGTAAACATTACGTGCGCTTTGGGAGCTGCAGGAGAGTGAACCGAGCAAGGGAAGGTGGAAATCGCCAAAGAGCAGCTGGGAATAAAACCAGAAATATTCTCTGTGGGTTGTACCAAACCCTCAGGGAAAGCTTTTTAGTTTTAACACCCATTTGTCACCTCCTGGGTTGTTGGAGCCCTTTGAGGTGAGTGAAGCACCTGCAGGACTCACTGACTGAGCAAAAAGGGCTCTGTAGGAGCCTGAACCACTACTTTAAATTTGTCTTAAGAGATCCATATGTTTTCATTGAATCCTATTTTACCCCTATGTTTACCAGCTTAACTTGCTCTACTTTTTAAATCTGGGTTATTAATGAAAAGCGATTCCTCCTTGGGGTTAAAAAGTTAATCAAGTTTGCAAGTCCACTCAAGCAGTTTTTATGCACTTTGTTACCACCAAGAGCCAAAGCCAAACTGTGCAGCCCCGAATGCCTCTGCCAGGAACAAAGAGCCACCAGGAATGGAGACAGAATTCCTGGAGCGGCAGCTCCGGTGGCTGCACAAGAGTCTGGGTGTCCAGCGCTGGCTTTTATCACATGCTGGGACAAGGATCACGTGGAGAGGCGGAGAGTCAGCCCTGCAGAGCCCGGGTGGCATCGTGGAGGTGGTGGGATCTGGGGAGCTTCTGTCCCGATGGCCCCTGTAAGCCAGGATCAGATCCAGAAGGTAAGGAGCTGCTCTCCGGGGAGGGAGCGTGTCCCCAGTGCACTGACACTGCTTGTAATAGTCACTGCTAGCTAAGGTGGCCCTGAAATCTGCTTTACAAACACTTTATATTCCCCCCAGCTTCTTGTATTACGCTAATTTTGAGTGTGTGAGTGTCGTGCTGACAAACTCTTCCAGAGGGCAACGTGTCCTGCAGAGCTCTTGGAGGAATTTCCCCTGTGCCCCTCTGTCTGTGCTGCTCAGCTCTCAGCTCTGAACTGGCAAAGGATAATCTCCAGGGTATTCTATATAAAGAAACTGTAGTGCCCAACAGAGTTCACTTCATTTCGTAAGGGATTGTGTAGTCAGCCATGACAAATCACCCAGGGATTTTTT